GCCAAACACTAAAAATGTGCTCTACTTTTCCCCTACATTTTACTACAGTGTTTAGTATTTTGACTATAACATTGTCATTACTCAATGAAAATCAAAAAGTTTTTTTACCAAAATGATCAGCGAAAAAGCTCTACAAAAATAGATATAAGAGAAAATTTTTAGAATATCCTTGCTATTCGTTTATGTGTAAAAATAAAAAAGTCCAGGCTTTTTTCGGCCCTCAATGTATGCTGACTCCCAATAGAAACTGTAGTGGCCCTTGCAGTACATTTCGTTTCCTTTTGTGTTTTGCGTTCGCAAACCCAATAATATATATCATCGCAATTTTTGTCTTTGTTATACAAAAATCCTTCAATGTTTATTTTGGACTTCCTTTTGTAGTTCTAATCACTTCAGCATAATTATTCGAAGCGCTATCACTGTTTTGTCTTGAAGGCATGATTGAATTGTAACTTATCTCACGGGAAATAGTTTGTTAATGGAAGATTTGTTTTAACTGATAAAAAACCGTCTTCTGATTTTATTTTGAAAAATGTGCACTATTTATAGGCGGATGAGTGGGAAAAATCCCATTCTAGATGACACGTACGATAACAAAATTCCGCTAACATACAGTGAATCACACTATTACGTAGGTGAATTTAAAAAGAATTTTGACGAAATAATTTTAAGAAATTTCAATTCTTTTGACTTCAAATATTTTTCGGCCAAATGAGTTGTCGGCGAAATGGTATCGGCCAAGTGACCGGGACCCGTGAAATCCTCATCTAGTTCAATCAATGCAAGAGATGACTATAGTCACTCGTTTTCGAAAATCCCTTTTAGGTTTACCAGAGTACTCTTCTTTCATAGTGGAGAGCAAGATTTTTCTTTACAAAAAGGAATTACACTGGCCTCATGAATTTCAGGTTATGGGATGTGAAACTTCGAGAAGTGAAAACAATATTCAACTCACAGATTACCAGTGAGGACTACTTAGCACAGTTGATCAACAAACGATGATAGAATAACTGCTGTATTGTATAGTTCAGCTGCAATATATGCTTTAGTACAAATTGAAAGAGAAGTACAAGTGTATTATCAGAAAAATCGTGAGTAGTGGTCTTCTATTATGAGAGATTACTAGTTAAATACATACTGTCGCTTTTCTTCTTGCTCCCTTTTATTTTCTAGAATAGATAAAGTAAAGATATTTTGAAAGACATAGTTCTTCTCGGTTGCTTTGTAGAGAAAAGTACCCGGCCAAGTTGTTTAGTCCCTGACAATGCACAGGCTGTTACTACCGTTTTTTGTGATAGAGTTGGACTCAAACAGATGTGAGAGCACATATATCAGTTGCTGGGTTCTAGGAAATTGCATTATATTTTGTACTTTTTTTAATTAGTTTTTTGAATAAAGAAGTGTTTGTTTGTCTTTAAAATTGATAATTATTTCAATAGATCTACAAAGCACAATAAATTCGAAGCAAACAGCTCAAAAACCTTTCTAAGCACGGCCAGAAGACCAAATCTGAAAAGTACATACATGACCTTGCTAGAAAATTTTTCTTAAATATCTAGTACAAATAAATGTTGAATGGAAATATAAAAATATGTAGGTTTTATAGAAAATAGCTCAAAATCCCCTAAAAACCCTTTAAAATAAGTTTTACAGGTATGGAAATACTCAATAGTACTTGATTGGCATTAGTCCTCTAAAATACTTCAATAAATATTATAGAAAACAGTCTCTAAAATATAAATTAAATCTATCAGATAATACGGTTATTGGGGATCATAACAGAATCGTTAAAAATCTTCGTGTACCAAATGGACAGGTCCAACTTTCAATTTATATAAAAAGCTTACAGTGTTGGTAACTGAAAAAACAAAAGCATCTGTTCTGTTCATAAGCTACCAACATCAAAAGCGATAAGAAAAATTAACACACAGTCATATAACTTTTAAGTAATGATCGATAAATGGATCAATATCACCGATACTACCAACAGCACTACCTTGATGCCATATGAATATCATAACATAATCCAATTAATCTTGTTGAAGTCGGAATTGTATATGAATTTGTATAGTGTTGGCATCTAAGCGCATTAGCAACTTCTAGTGTTGAACTAACAATCAGGATGTTACTTGCTCACACCACGCTTCTTTATATTCTTGTCAGCTTTCCTACTGTAACATTAGTATAATCATTTTTGCTTTGTTTTTCTTTTTATTGACAAAAGAATGAATATAATTATGAATACTACTAAGAATGATCAAATTTCATCATGTTTTTTGTTGAAAAAACAAGAAACGTAAATATTTAAACGGATTACTTAACAACAGAAAAAATAATGAAAGAGTCATCGTCTTGGAAAATATTTACTTTTCTTGTTGTACAATCTCTATTAATATTTGTAGTTGTTTTACTTAATTTGATTTTAATTATCGTCTTTCGATCATCATCATTATCAACAAATACATCCGTAATTGCAACTACTGATCTAAATTTTGTTAAAATCCTTCTTAATCAACAGCCCTGCGCTCAGTGCGGTTGTCCTTTTATTCAACCTGTCTTCGAGGATAATATCACAAGTCGAATTGTTAACGGTGAAATCGCCCAACCCCATTCTTGGCCTTGGCATGCTTTGTTAGTTGTTTATAACAGAAATGGTATCTGGTCATCAGCATGTGGAGCAAGTCTTTTATCTTCCCGATATGTACTAACAGCTGCACATTGTGTCCACGGTCATTCAGCCACTGCCATTTACATTCATACTGGTCTGCATGAAATTACAAACAAAACATTGAGCCCATTCAATGGTTATCAAGGCCGATCAATTTATATCCATGAATCCTATAGTCAATTTTTGCTGAATCATGATATTGCACTGATTAAATTGAAAAATCAAATACTTCAAGATAATCGAACGATTGGATTTAGTTGTTTAGATTTAGAGGATGATGGTGGTGAAAACAAACACGAAGAAGACTATAATGAACTGTTTGTGGCTGGGTGGGGTCGTATTTCGGGTAATCCTTTGAATTACACAACTTCAACACTATTAAAACAATTAAAATTGAATTATATATCACCATTTGATCAGCGATGTGCCATGGTTATAGGACAAGCAGATCAATATCGACCGGGACAAATGTGTGCTTGGAATGCAAATGGTAGTGCTTGTCGCGGTGATAGCGGGGGTGCATTGGTGAGAAGAGTGAAACTGAATGAACAATACTATTATCAACAAGTTGGCATTGTTTCTGGATCAATTAGTTGTGGCTTCAAGGATCAGATGCCGGAAACTTATACAAGAATAAAATATTATACAAAGTGGATAAAAAATATTGTTCAGTATGCTGAATTAGATTATGAAAACGACTGAAATGTTTGTTTCAGCTTTTTGATAAAAAAACCTGTTTACCTTAAGTAAATAAAAAGTTAGAGCAATAGTATAAATAAGAAAATTATTACGAATGCTCTTGTCTGCTGTTAATAATCCATCAGTCAAGCTACCAATGGATGAAGAAGTGGATAATGACTGTATATGTGGACGTTGTGGTTGATTAACATTGTGAGTTGTATTTAACTGTTGTGAAGCGACAGCGCCCTGCATCTCGAAGCGTTATGTTTGAAGAGAGGTAGAACCGAATAGAAAATGACAGGTCTTATATGAAAAACAAAATACTGTATTATAAACTTCTCAATAATTCAGATGGCCGTCAGCAAGCATCAGATACAGAAACATTGTCACTGAACACCGGCGTGCATCGGACGCCGGGTTCCATTAAATGATGGGAAAAACTGGTTCATTATCGTACCCCATAAATCTTTAGCAGTCTTCGCTCAAACATCGTTTCGTTATTTAGGCTACACGGTGACACAACTTCGTGGAATAAAGTAAACATAAATTTGCTGCTCTGATTTTTTAGTTATTGAGAAAAGATGGTTTTACTGAATAGATTGGATAGTTGATGATCTCACTCGTAAATGGCAAACAAAACATACTTCGATCGACATCAGTTTCGTGATAAGAATATCAAAATATATCTGTTAAGGATTGTAAATCCTTCCATAAGTATAACTGTTGTTATACATGTCACTCCTTTCTTTAACAGATATCGCTCTTTGTAGGGAATATTTGACAGATCAACAACGGTTGTTATCACTCTTGCATTTATACGATGACTTTTGACTAAAAACTGTTCATTGTTTATTGATTAAGCAGTTTTTCCACCAATATAACGGATTCAGAACATATGCGAAACTAACAGCTGAAAGAATTTCCAATCAGAGGCCATGAGTATGCAGATTTCATTATGCTGTTTAGTTTATTTGCTGATATAGGTTCTCTAGAAGATCCGAACTATAACAAAATGCCACACCCGGATCCTGTTGAAAACTTTTTCCATACAATTCAGTCGTGTAGAATAGGGGTGGCACTTTACTTTTACTTTAGTTGTAAGTAGTAACGAAGTTAATTAGTGGTAAAAATGTAGCTAATCTAGTTATTTCGTTACCAGTAACGAGAAACTAAGTTCGTTACTTCGTTACTTCTCAAGAAAGTAACGGTTTTTTATTACTTCCTGGAGGAGTAATGAACGTAATGAAGTAACGAAATTAGTTACTCGTTACTAGTAACTAACACTACGGTTACACCACGCAAATAATCGTGATTATCTTTATTCGTGATTAAAACATAATCATTTTATAATCACAATTAAGCATTTTCTAGTGCCACCGAGATTATTTTGGAATATGATTAACGATATTTAATCACTATGAACAGAATTGTGTGTAACCGCACTAATCAGATTAAAAAGATAATCGTGATTTAACTCATGATAGCTATTAGTATAAATACCCAGTGTGTAGAAGAAAACTCAGTTTTGTGTTGGCAAAGTTAACATGAATACAGTAACACTCTTTAATCTGATCAATAGATTTGTTGACATCGACTGCTGATAACCTTCTTGTGCTTTTTTTTCAGACAACACGATTCTGACGACTTACTATTTCATTCAATATCATTTCATCTTTTAACAAATTTAGCAGCAAGTTTGTTTCTTCTTCAGACCACCAAGATCGTTTTGCCTTCGTTTTATTCTTGTAACTCTGCGTAGTCATTTTTAACAAAAGAAGTTATTATTATAAAATTATTATTAATTAATTATTTATCGATCTGTAACAAAGTATAGTAATAATGCCCGAAAAATTCTTTAGTAGGCAAAACAGACTTTAGGCTGATTAGTTATTGCAACTGAGTAGTGGTACGCAAGCGCCGCTATCATGGTCCTTTTGTCAATAGACGCGGTTAAAGTTAATCACGATTAAATTTAATCGCGATTAAAGATAATCATCTTCCGAACATGATTATCCTTACTCACGATTTTTAAAATAATCGGGATTAAAGTAGCTGTTACACTACTACTATCCATTTCAAAATAGAAAAAGGATGGTCATTTTCTCAATAACTTTTTATAGGAAGCAGCTAAAAAGTTGCGGTTTTCGCTGTTCAAAAGAAAATGTTGGGGCTACAAGAAAAACTAAAAAGTTTTGTCCCAAAATTACCTGCAGGTGGTGTACCTTGCGAAGATATTTTGCGAAAGATGTCACACCACTGAAAAAGTTTCGGATTTTAACTTTTGAGACAACAGGTAGGTAGCCCGGACTGAGATATTCGTTTCTAGAGCAGTCCCAGGTCGTTAGCGTACAAGATTCCGGAGCTTGAAAGGTTCTCCGGAGACCGC